CGAGCATGACCTGTGCTGAATCATTCAATAGGAACTCAGACTCTAGCACGACAAGCCGTGCTATCTGGCACGCCCGTGCTAGAGGCAAAGTGTCTGATAAAAAATGGCAAAGCCAGTCTTTTTTAACTTACATAAGGCCACAACCTCAGATATTTTCCTGACGTGCAAACAAAGTCTAAGCCTATTTAGGAAGAGAGAAGACTCCTAATTAAGAGAAATACCAAAGGCTCTAAAACAGTTTATGATCTCCAAAGAAAGATTTCGTACTTAAATCAGGGATTATAATTTCCTAACGGAGTAGAATTTTTCTCTCCCAGGAGGTTCTATAAATAAAGAGAGGAAACCATTCATTGTAGAGGGCAATCTCGAGTTTCTAAGTATTTTTTCTACATAGTTTCTCTATGCTTTCAAAGATTTCAGCATTCCAAGAATTTGTGCCAAGATTTCAAGGAAGCCATCCACATATCTGTTGTCTAGTTTTTATTTCTAAACTCTTCATCTTGTTTTTCTTTTCATTATTCATTATTATGAAGTTTTTTATTCAAGTATTATTGAGTTTTATTTTTAATTACTAATGTCGAGCCACTAAAAAAAACTCTACATACTAGGGAGTTTGATGTAGTAATTCGATTCTAATTTAGTAATATTAGATTTGTTTTTCCTTGTCATGATATATTTATTATGTGAACTAATGCTTCTAGGCAGAGTTTCTTCTCCCTTGGATTGATTTATTCATTAATTACTATCGGGAGAAAGGGTTTTTTGATATGAAAAAGGTATAAATCACATGAGAATAATAACTTGATGGAAAAGCTATATGGTTTGACTCATGTGGGATTTTCATAAGTTTAAGTGACCTTAGGTTAAGAAGAATTCAACAAAACAACCATAAAAACTTAATGATTTAAATTCATGTTTGATTGCGCTATTGAACTAAGGTAATTAGAGAAGCCGGATTAGATAGCTAACAATACATCAAGGATGAGCTTGTCAGTGATATTAGGGTTATTCCCTACTTGAACAATTAGAAATTGATTAACAAACTAATACAATAATTTGGATAGAATTAAGTGAAATCAAAATCCTAGTTAGTTTTTAAATCCTTGCATTTATTTCTTCAAATATCTATTGCTTTTGATTTCTTTTGTTCTTTTTTATTTGTTTTAATTTCTTAAATAATTCCCTTATTGCCGTTTAAGTAATAATAGGTTAACATAATTTTGGTACTTGATATACAATCCCTGTAGATACGATACTCTTGCACTCTAAATATATTACTTGTTGAGATTTCGTACACTTGCAAAAATCACTGTCAAATGCGACTAAAGTTTTTTTATTTTAAAAAAAAATAATATTTCATTATATATATTATTATTTTTTAGATAGATATATTATACTAAACAAATATAAATTATTTATATATCAAACAAGTCCAAGTAATTACAGCAAATATATTTATTATTATTATGAAAATCGATGAGAGCGGACAGTTTTAACCAGAAAATCGTACGATGGTCCAGTCCAAGTTAGGTAATTTCAAACAGGTGATAAGTGTTAATTTTTATAGGTAATTTTTTATTTGATTTTTTGTTAGAATTTTAGTAAGTTTTTAATGCTTTAATTTGGTTTTTTTAGAATCACTTTTAGCATAATTATGATCAAAAGCTTCCTTGATCTTTAATGCCGCTTGAATCTAAGAGAATTGTAGGAATTGTTGCAGAAAAAGAACTTTAGAAAACAAAGACACTCAGCTCTAGCACGCCCTAGGCCGTGCTAAGCGTCATGACGGTGGCCCGCCCAAGTCCGCGCTTACGAAGCAAGTCTCAACAAAGAAAAAGTGGCCAAGTCGCGAGCGCGACTTTCAAATGCGCGGAGCGGCGACAATTCAGAAAAGAGAGTCAGAAGAAATTTGCAAGAAAAGCTCGCGAGCGCACCTTCCATATGCACGGACGCGAGCTTGAAGTCGCGAGCGGCGACTTTTAAAATGCGCGGGCGCGACAAGCAGATCTGACGTATCAGAAGCAATTGAACGCAGAAGACGCGAGATGGAAAGTCGCAGCAGCGCGATATTAATAATGCGCGGTGCCCGTTCGCCTCTCCCCCCCGTGCGGCCCCCCTGCCCGAGAAAAGGCACCCTTGAGAGGCAGAAGCGTTTGCCAGGCACCCAAGTCGCGAGCGCGACTTGCAAATGCGGAGGCGCGAGAAGCGCAACTGCAAGAGGCAGAGAAGAGCACGCCCCAGCCCCGTGCAACGGACACGCCGTGCGCCTAGCCCTTCGCCAAACGTGCTTGCGGAACAGCGCGCAGTGCCTCATATGCCGTCTAAACTTCAGAAGCGTGCACGCCCCAGCCCGTGCTAGTGCAACGCCCGAGTGCCAAGCAAGGGAATCCTAAACTTGTCAAAAGTTGCAAACCAACTTAACACTAATTTATGGAGCTAATCTTTGACAACTTTCACCTCACATGCAACCAAGATCTATTCTATGCACATGGGTGAGGCATTTGAGACACCATAATTGAGAGCAATTCATGGCTTAATTTACAAACTTTTCCACCTCACAAAGTTGGACTTCACTCATCAAAGCACAAGGCTTGTTTCCCCCAAGTAGTCTATATAAGGAAGCAAAGAAGCCACTCAAAGGGGATCCCATATCCTACACTCTACATCTATTCTTCTTTCTTCCATTTTGATAGTTTTTAGATAATTTTATTTTCTTTTAAAGTTAAGTATCCAAGAGTTGTGCAAAGATTCAAAGAAGCCATCCAAGCAATTTATCTCTAGTTCTTATTTCTAACTCTTAATCTTGTTTACTTCTTTCATTATCTTATTGATTATGGAATATTTATCAAGTATTGTTGAGTTTTATTTAAGTACTATGTGTAACTAAATTTATATGTTGAACTAAACTCTCATACTAGGGATTTGATGTAGCTTAATTTCTTTTCCAATTTATAATGTTAGATTTGTTTTTCTTTGTTCAAGGTATAATTAATTATTGAACTTATTGCTTCTAGGTAGAGTTTCTCCCCCGGATTGATTTATTTCATTAATCACTATCGAGAGAAGGGTTTTGACATGAAAAATATAATAAATTACATGAGAATAATAACTTGATGCAAAAGCTATATAGTTTGACTCATGGGGGGTTTTCATAAGTTAATGACCTTAGGTTATGGATTCACAAAACAAACCATAAAATTTAATGATTTAATTCATGTTTTTGATTGCGCTATTGGAAGATAAGGTAATTAGACCGGGTTAAAATACTAACAATACATCGGGGAGAGCTTGTTTTAGTGATTTTTGGGTTGTCTTTTCCCACTTGAATAATTAAATTGATCAATTTGAACTAATTTGAAATAAATTTTGGATAGAGTTAAGTTGAAATTCAAAAAACCCTAGTAGTTTTTAACTTCCTTGATTTTCTTTAATCAATAATTGGCTTGCCTTTAAACTTTCTTATTTTTTACTTTGTTGAATTTTAAATTTTCTATAAACAATTCTCATTATCGTTTAAATAATAATAGATAACATAATTTTGGTACTTGGGATTACAATCCCTGTGGATACGATACTCTTACTCATCATATATTGGTACTTGGATTACAATCCCTGTGGATACGATACTCTACTCATCATATATTACTTGTAGCGATTTCGTACACTTGCGAAAATCTCTATCAGTGCCAAAACTTGTCAATATTGAAGACTTGTTCAAGTCTTTGCTGACTCCCAAAAATGCTTTTTAAATTAACAATTAACAGTTCTTCAAAACAAGAAAAAAGAGACTTTGGTATACATGTTGCAAAAGCTCTGAGAAGGACATAGAGCTTCGGACTTCAGTAATTTAGATAAAAGAAAACGATGTGTGTGCCGGTGATGAATTATATTCTCTGATTGAATAATAAATTATATCCAGTTTTATTATGATAAAAAATCAAGCATTTATTGTAATTTTTCTTGATAAAAAATTATTACAATTTTTTATCACTTCAATCTAATTTTTATTTAACTAGTGCAAATACAGGAATATCACCACATGCACAGTCAGGAGAGAATTGGTATATTATATTGTCATTATGTCTATATATTGTATATTTTCTCATATATTTATCACATAATTAATTAATGGCACTGAAGTATTAGATTAGTGCAAGTATTTTTCCTATACCCCTAAACCTTTATAAGTATTTGGAACATATGGAAATTAAAATTTTCTAATTTTTTTTTTTAATGGAAAGAAGTTTACATGAAATTTCCATTAGAAAATTTAATTTCCATTTTTTTTAATGGAAAGTTGATGTAAACTTCTTTCCTTTATTCCTATCGTTGCCGATCGCCATAAACAATCAGTTGGATCTAAAAAATATTAAATTTCACACTATCCATGGGCTTCATAATTGCCTCACTCTCTCTTATCTTGACAAAATTCATTTCTGTTGCATCTCTCTTCATAATCCTTCTCCCTTGCATCACAGCCGTTCACAGCTTGCCGCCATATACTCCAACAGACATTATCCTTCTCAACTGTGGTGCGTCCTCTCTCACAACATCACCCGACGGCCGAAATTGGATTAGCGATTCCCGATCCAAATTCGGTACCTCTAACTCTCTGAACTCATCATTTGCTTTCAAAGCCTCCCGACAAGATGCATCTGTAACCCAAGTCCCTTACATGACAGCTCGTATTTTTCTATCCAAATTCACCTACAGCTTTCCTGTCTCATTTGGCTCAAAATTTATTCGCCTCTACTTCTATCCGGCTACTTACTCCAATCTTGATATATCCAAATCCTTCTTTTCCATTGAAGCCAATGACTACACACTTCTAAGCAACTTTAGTGCTTTTCTTACGGTGACAGCTATAGAGCTTCCAGTCGCTGCCATTGTGAAAGAGTTTGTCGTTACTATTTAGGAAAAACAGATGCTTAACGTAACTTTTAATCCATCTCTGAAATCTTTTGCCTTCATAAATGGTATTGAAATCGTTTCCATGCTAGACAGTCTTTATATACACGGAAATGATAGCCCGCTGACAAATGTTGGCATTGACTATCCCTTCTATTTGGATAATACAATCGCTCTTGAGACTGTTTATCGGTTAAATGTTGGAGGACGGGATATTGACGGTTCAGGTGACACCGGAATGTACAAGAAATGGGTTCAAGACTCTAATTACATTTTTGGTTGGTGCTCGCATTTGGAGTGGTGGGTCTATTTCTAAGGTTAAGAATAATTAATACGAAGGACTTTACTCCTGCTTGGGTCGCTCCTGTATTGGGATAGTACTATGGCGTTTCAATGGGACCGTCAACGAAAAGTTTAAGCATTAAATACAAATAATCTCAAATCTCACTTGGATATTCCCCGTTGATACTGGATTCAACTATCTTGTTCGTCTCCACTTTTGTGAGACTCGACTAGAGGTTACCGGTGCGCTTCAACTGGTATTCTCGATATTCATCAATAATCAAACAGCGGTAGCTCAAGCAGATGTAATATACTGGAGCGGTGGTAGAGGTGTTCCAGTGTACAAAGACCACGTCATATGGATTCCAGCAGCAGGCCCCGGCAAGCAGGACTTGTGGCTCGCTTTACACCCATCTGATGAGTTTGAGTTAGCTGACGCGACCTTGAACGGTTTGGAGATATTCAAGTTGAATAAATCAAAGGGTAGTTTAGCAGGGCCAAACTCTGAACCAATACTAGTTCAGACACCACCAGTCCGGCAACCAAAACTATTAGAAAGAACAAAAAGCAAACACGTAAAGAAAGTAACAATTTTAATTGGACTAGTATTTGGTGGTGTCTTATTGCTTGCTTTTATTCTTTGTTTCTTTGTTTTTAATCAGAGGAGGAGAGGAAAGAAGTACTCAATTATTACCAAGTCCAAATCCTTTCGAGCCCCTTTTCCTCACACTTCAAGATCCACGACCAGAAAATCTTTTCTAAATCCTTTTAATCAATTCCGTCGGTTCTCAATTTTCGAAATTGAAGTAGCCACATCCAAATTCGACGACAAATCTAACAAGTCCTCGACAATTGCTTCACCATTGCCAACAGAGCGTTGCCGTAGATTTACAATTCTCGAAATCAAAGAAGCTACCAGAAATTTTGACGATCAAAACTTTATAGGTTCTGGAGGATTTGGTAATGTATATAAAGGATTTGTATCTTTGATCGGATATTGCATTGATGAAGGTGAAATGATTCTCATCTATGATTACCTTATCAACGGCACACTTGGAGAACATTTACATGAAACAAACAATGATCCTCTTCCGTGGAAAAAAAGTCAAATCTTCGTATCTTTGAATCGATATCTGCATTGATGAAGTGAAATGATTCTCATCTATGAATTACCTTATCAACGGCACACTTGGAGAGCATTTTACATGAAAACAAACAATGAATGCCTCTACCAGTGGAAAAAAAGGTTCACATATGCAATAGGTGCAGCACGCGATTGTCATTATCTTCATTCCGAGTTCACGCATGACCATTTCCATGAGACGTGAAGACAACTAATATTTTGCTAGACGAAAACTGGATTTTGCAAAAGTTTCAGATTTCGATTAATCCAAAGCAGCTTTTCAAAACAGGAGGTTAGTAGTACTACTATAGTGAAGGGAACTTGGGGTTATTTAGATCCAGAATATGCAAGATACCAAATATTAACAGAAAAATCTGATGTGTACTCATTTGGTGTAGTATTATTTGAAGTCTTGTGTGCTCTGAAGCCGCTTGATCGAAATTTGGTGGGAGAACATATGAACTTAGCCATCTGGGCTGAAAAATGAAAAATGCATTCAAAATGGAAACATTTATCAAATAATTGATCCTTATTTGAAGGGGAAGATAGCTCCACGGTGTTTCAAAAAATTTGTGGAGATCGCATTCAGTTGCGTTCATAGCAAAGGCATTGAACGGCCCAATATGAGAGATGTTATGGAAGAACTTGAGTTTGCACTGAAGCTGCAAGACGATGCGGAAGCTGAGAATATGGGAATCAGTCCTGATGGTGAAATCGTCCATCCTTATGTATCTTTTTTCCCTGCCCAATGTGTTGATATGTGTTGATATTGCCGACGGACCTCAGCTAGACTCAACTTCATCAACTGATTTTGATACAAGTAGTTCAACTACGGGTGTGTTTGGCTCAAGGATTGGCTGATATATTTTTTTTGTTTTCAGCTTTTAACAATTGTTAATTAGCAATTAATGCTTAGCAATTAATGCTCTATATATGTTTTCAAATATTTGTGGTTAGAAACATTTTCTAAGACATTTCAATTATAATACTTATTCATTAAACATTATTTTTCTTGTTTTGGGGTTAAAAGTAGAATCAAAATTATCTGTAGTTTGAAGCTTTGAGTGATTTAAAGTTCTAAAGACAGACAGGATCAGAGAGAAGGAAATGAAAGGCAGCCATGGCCCCAAGCTCTAAAAAAAAATTTCAATTTTCCTTTAAAATTAGATAAAGTTCTTGAATTTTTTTCCCAAGATGGTGTTTAAAGGAAAAGTATTTAAGGAAATAGTGTTCCCGTAACAATATTTAATCAAAACAATAATATGTGTGAAAATTTTATTACTGTATTCTTGATGCATGGCTATATATGTTTTCAAATATTTGTGGTTAGAAACATTTTCTAAGACATTCAATTACTGTATTCTTGATGCATGGGCTTAGCTTTTTCATTTGAATGACAGCCTTTTGGGACGTATCTTGAGGGATAGCTACTGGCTGTTTTTGGGTGCCTCTGTTAATCTGCAGCTTAGTTCCTGGCTTTTGGGATTTACTCGTTTTGGTCCTTTTTCAGCTGTAAGCACTTTATATTTTCACCTATTCAAAAGAAACATGACAAGGATTATAAAATATGGTGCACTTGGCGAAATGAGCCGAGTGAGATTGTATCATTTAGATGCTATACTATAGGAACTATGGCCCAAAAATGTGTGCATAAAATGCCCACATCATCTACGCCCTGAAAAGCCCAACTCTCATTGATTTCGGGAAATCACATTGGAGAACCCAACACCATGGAAGGATAGATCTCAACAACCTCAAAATTACAAAGCTAATTTTATGTGCAACTATGCAGACAAGATCCTTACTTTAACTGTCATAAGAGCTATTCATCACGGAGTAAAAACAAGACCCTTCTGCATCAGAAAAACTAATCACATCACTTTTAGTGATGAAACAGTTGTGGGTTCCTTGCTCCGAATTGACGCGTAAAATTTTTAGAACTGATTATTAAGGAATAAAATATTTATCATAAATGTGTATTAAGAATAGGATCCTGTTAATATTGGAATCACCACATATTTCCTTAAATTGTATATAGAAAGTCTTCATCTCTTGTGATGAAACAGTTGTGGGTTCCTTGCTCCAAATTGGCGCGTAAAATTTTTAGAACTGATATTTCCAATTTTTTGGGACCTTTTCTTATCATTTTTGGGTTAGAAGGTATAGAATAAAAGTAGTTAAAGAGATTTAAGAAGTTTGTCAACAGGTAATTAGATTTTTTTTTTAATCAGCAAAATAAAATATTTTATTAATTTGTTTTTAAATGCTGGAAAAATTTAGCAAATTCAAAATGCTAAAACCCGAACTAGAAGATTGCCCACTTACGTCCAAATGCTGTAGGTAAACACAAAAAAAAATTCCGTCAGCAACAAGGAAATAGATGAAACGTTTAAAAAAATGGATATTGGATTAGGTGACCCTTTAACCCATTAATGTTTGCGTTCGCTAACCAAATTAAAAAGTGTTAGGATATCGATTCGCTAACCAAATTAAAAAGCTTAAAAAAGAAAATAAAATAAGAGAAAACCAAAAAATAACAAGCAAAAAAATAGATGAAAAATGCTAAATAAAGTCTTTCATGGTCTAAGAGATAAACTGATGCTTTCGGCGAAAGAAGACATGGACTAAGAACAGAGAAATGATAAAGAGGAAAAATATATTAATTAAAAGAAAAGGACTGTGGTTTATTTTGGAAGTCATTTTTAAACTTTACATATGTGCTTAAGAGAGTTTTTATCTTTGAAATTTTATCTCTCAATTCTGACTAACGGTAAAAATTGATTTTTGGACGAAAGAAATTATTAATTTAAAGGTGTATAATACGGAAAATAGAGAATCACCCGACATAGTTAAACAGAAGACCAAAAAATAATTTTGCTTGGGGGATAAACTAAGTTATATTTCTTAAAAAAGGATTACACTAAAAGTTCAAAAATATTTTTATTATGTAGCACGCAGTCGACCCATTAAACCTCCCAGTGAATCAAAAAGTTTCAAAACATTATTGATGGGAGCACAACCACTTATACTGTCTCCATCCCTAAGAATAATAATGAAATAATGTATTTAGCAAAATCAGAAATCCAAGTAATTACGTGAGTCTTTTTAGAGTAATTTTTATACCTATATATAAGTTATTTTTTAAAATACCTTTTATACCTCAAAATATAAGTCGTTTTTTGGTGATTATTTAATTACTGTGTAATTATATATAAGTTATATAATTACTGTGTAAAAATTTAAAATGATTTATATTGTGGGGTGTAGTTATAGGTAATTACTGTGTAATTATATATAAGTTATATAATTAACTAGTGGTAAAAATTTAAAAAGTGAGATATTAGTGATCAGTTTGTAAAACCAAAGGTAAGCACGAATGAAATAATAATATGGATCATAGAACGCAGACACCACTTGATTTAGGGTCTAGCCATTGAAATGCAGAAGGACTGTCATGAAAATTGGGCCTTGTCCCACATCCAAAGTCCTTTCAAAGTCTATATGGCATTTACTTCTGCATTATTGGTAAACAAAGAAATTGGAATGCCATACACTCCACCATATCAATTTTCACTAAAAATAAATACTTCATCTGTTGGAAAATTTTTTCTTTTCTTCTAACCGGTCCATGCTCTTCCGATAGAGTGGAATACAATGCGGCATTAAATTAACATTCATGCCATTTTACTTCTTTAGGTACATGACGCTAGGTTGCAAGACAGTCCCGTCCACCTCTCATCAAATATTTTTAAGTTAATGTTTCAACTTTTTTTTTTTTCTAGTATTTTATTTAATACAATATAGAACAATGTTAACATTCATCTCACACAATTAATTCATAAAGTTCAAAATTATTTATTAAATTTTTTATCCTTCTTTTAAAACAAATTTATAATAATTAATATTTGAAATTATTAAACTTTCAATACAGAATGGCACATTAAACTTATCTATTAAATAAAGTTAGTGATCGTAAACTGAGGTTCGAAGGAAGGAAACATTGCGAAAAAGCTTATAAGACTTTTCATTTTCTCAACACCAAGTAAAGTTTAAAAAAGAGCTAACCAGACAGTGCAACAGTTTGTTGCAGGAGTGTAATTGGAATTAATGTATTGAAATTATTTTAATTGCTATAAAATAATATTTAATTGTCAGATTCAATATTGGTTTCACGATTGAACAATTCCCTCATTCATCATTATCAACAAGAAAATTAAGTAAGTATATATACGAAACCATATAATTTTAGAGTTAAGTGCATGTATAACCTGATAATATACGGGTTGGAATGGATTCTTCTTTAAGGTCCAAAAAGTCCATAAGACTTTTCATTATAGAAAAGTGGAAGCTAAAATAAAAAAGTTGGGATAAATGTTAGAGCTTCAAATTTAGTCCTTACCGGATACAAGCATGAATCAGAAGCAATCTGCAAAATAAATCCTTTAATGCACTGTTTGCCAACTTGCAAAAGGTCTGATTTTTCCACTAACAAAATAGAACAAGCCAAGAAAGGCGTAACAAAACACAAGTTTTTGAATATAAATAATTATTCCATCTATATTGTTGAACTTACGAAAGAAAAAAAAACCAGAAAAAGACACTTAGAGCGAGCACAAAAATTAATATATAACAAAACATAAATCACTGGAAAAAGTGAATTTTTGATGCTCTTATCCCCTTTAATTTTACCCTTTTTTTACTATTTAAAAAGATAATATAATACCACGCTTATCAATGACGCAACGTTCCCTCAACTATAAGCAGTAAGAATTTATAATAAATATATAACTCTGAAATTTAACATGTATTTAAACACTATTACGTCACTTAATTAAAA